CAAATGAGAAAACTGCGGCCTAGAAGTCAGATAACTTGCTCAAGACCCCAGAGCTTATAAACAGAGCTGGGATTCAAACCTAGGCAGTCTGGTTCTAAAGTCCTGTCTTTGCAGATCCACACAGTACCTGTGAGGGACTAAGACCCTACCTGCACCACAAGCCTTCCCGTCTCTCCCTCCCCTTTTCGAACCTCTCCCCTCTGCACTGGCATTTGGATGTACTCGAACCTCCCCATTAAAAACAATAATAAAAAGCCCTCGCTCAACCCCTTATTCCTTCCCCCACTTTTTCATGGCTCCACTTCCTCACCTCTATGTCAAGCTAGTCCAATCTGCAACATTCCTGCCACTCTGCTGAACGTTTCTAAACCCAAGGGTTATGTTTACCACTAAGCAGTGTGTGTCCCCGTTACTGAGCCCTTCCCTCTCCTCTTGGCTCACGGACACCTCCACTTCTCTTCTCCGTCTATTCCTTCTCTTCCCCCACAAATGGGTCCCTTCTGTCCCCGTGACTTTCTGGTCATCATCTTCTCCTCTATGCTAGGTCTCTTTCCCGGCTCTAGATGTAGACACTGCCAGGTGGACATCTCCAGCTGGATGTCACTGAGGCACTGCCAACTCAGCCTGTCCCAGACAGAGCCCACCACTTCCCCTCTTCATTCCGCACCTCAGAGAACGGGGCTGGTCTTCCCAAGCTGCTCAAGGCAGAGGCTGAGTAATCTTCATGCCTTTTCCTTCTTCACATCCAATCAGCCACCAAACCCTGTTGATTTTACCGTATTAATAAATATCTCTTGAATCCACCAACTTCTCTCCATCCCTACTGCCATCACCCTGTGGGAACTACCATCATCTTTCACTTAGAAAAGACCAACGACTTCTTACATGGTCTCCAGGTACGGTACGTCTTATCCCCCTAAATCCGCTCTTCGGGCCGGCCCGATGGTGCACTGCTACAGTGCGCTGCTTGGAAGCGCGGCGGCGCTCCCGCCAAGGGTTCGGATCCCACATGCAGACCGGCCGCTCACTGGCTGAGCGAGGTGCGGGCGCAACACCGAGGGTTGCGATCCCGTTGCCGGTCCCGGTCCGGTATGGGCGCGACACTGAGGGTTGTGATCCGTTGCCGGTCACGAAGAAATGACAAAAAGGAAATAAATAAATAAATAAATAAATAAATAAATAAATAAATAAATAAATAAATAAATAAATAAATAAATCCGCTCTTCAAAAGCAGATGAAGAGAGCTTCAAAAAAACAAAACCCACAGACCTTACTAAGTCACTCTGCTACTTCAAACTGTTAAGATGCTTCCTATCACCCTTACAATGAAGTGCTGACTTCCCAACTTGGCGGTGAGGACCTCCACCAGTCCCCGCCTACCTCCCTTGGCTTGTTCTGTCTCCCCTCAGCCCTGCCACACAGCCACACGGGACCCCCTTTGGTTTCTTGAGCTGCCTGTGCATTCTGCTGCCTTTGCCCCTCAGCCTTTCTGTACTGGCCCCTCCCATCTCACTTCAGTGCCATTTCATCCAAAGGGGCTTTCTGACCACCACATCGTACCGTATGCGACCCTGATCATAACAATCACTCACACTTGTGTGACTGTTTGCCTTCCCAGTACACTCAACGTTCCATGCAGGCCCAAACCACATCTTGTTCACTGCTAGATCCAGCTTGAAGCAGAGTGGTTGGCACACTAAGAACACTTGGACAAGAAAAGAGGCAACGTATTTTCAATCACGTTTGTGGTCTCTCTCCCTTGTACCACAGACCACCTCCCTGTCCCATCCCCTCCCTCTCTTGCCAGGCCCCCCTGCCCCAGAGTTAGTGCTCCATCTCTTCATGATCTATGTATACATGCTCTTTTCAATCTAGGGGTTCAGCAAAAACTTTCTGGAAGGATCACATCTCCCACAACTGCCTTCAAGAGAACTTTTTTATTATTTAGAAATGCAGTTATATACATAGAACAATTAAAATTAAATTAAACTTTATACAAATATTAAAATACTATCTTCACACCCACTGCAATGTACAGGATACCAAAAAATATATATATAAAATAAAATAAAGCAAACCCAAACTGATTGAGTGACATCCTGCACAGAGTCAATTATGCGTGTTTGTTTTAAACCATTATACGTGTACCATTCTGCAAAGGATTCCATAGTGGTGCAATAACCTTAAGAAGCCAGGGCAGGGGCGGAGGCTGCCACGCAACCCTCAATCAGCTCTCCTTGCTGGCAATCCGAGTGCTTTAACCGGCACTCCTTCAGCTAGCTCTGCTACTTGGCAGAGGGCTCAACCTTGGGGTTTTCATCCAAAATTCTACTAGGTTTTCAACTGGAAATTAAGTTGCTTCCTAGCAAAGCTGGGCCTGCCACCTTTCCCTCTGCAGGGAGCTAGCTACTGCACCCCTCAGCCCAAATACCTTCAAAGCAAAATATTCTCCAAGCCCCTCCTTGGAGCACCAGTAATGACTGTCCCTATGCTGAGAGCCAGGAGACCCAGCAGGCTCCACAAGAGAAGCCCCCAGTCTCCCTGTTCTCTGCAAGCACATGTGGAATTAAGCTGTGAAGCCTGTATGCCACTTCCCTTCTAAGCCCTTTTTTCTCTTTGAGGAAAAGGGGGGAAAAAAAGCAAGGATGTAGAACTTTTGCAGCATATTCCATTCTCTAAGGATGTTCCCTGGATATGGAGGTGACATTTTTATGCAGGAAGCAAGTGGTTTGAGAGCTCGGCTGGGACTGGGAGGGAAAGGGCTGAGTGCTATCATACCATGCCACCACTAATGAAGCAGGAAAAGTATACCTTTGTCTGTCTTGCCATCTGGCTTCTTCACAGAATTTTAAAGCTGGGGGTGGGATGAAGAGGGCAAGATTACTGGGAAGGCAATATTAGTATAAGGTCTGTTTGCAAATGGAGTGCTCGTAGAATGTACATTGAAATGCCTTATAAAATCAAAGTGGCCAGGACTCAGCCCATTTCACAGTTCACACCCAGTGAAACGGAACACAGCACAAGAAATAAAGAAATGGCAAAAAATAGAGCCTACCTGCTAAACTGAAGCAGGGAAGGGACGGAAATTTTAAGTGACTTTCACCATATTCTGGCCCTTGAAAGTTGCTAGAATGTGACTGCAAGTCACCAGGATATAAAACCTGCACTGAGTCAGCTCAAGTGTGCCCCCAAAAAACAAAAAACAAAAATAAAAACAACCAAACACCCAAACCCCTGTTAAAAAGTCCTTTGGTGCTGGACAAGCCTTCTGTCAGACTCCCCTAGGTGAACCCAGGAAGCAGGGCTGTGGCCAGTCCCTCCCCACCTGCTCCAGGTTCCGCACACAGCCTTCTTCCTAACAGCCACCCGTCCCTGGCCCTTCTTTCTCAGCCAGGCCTTACCTCAAGGAAGCTGTGGAGCCCCTAATCCCTCTACAAGTGACAAAGCCCAGAAGCCCTAGAAACAGCAGCACATGGCTGATGGTTGGGAACTTGCCAGCAGCAATGTGAACTGAGGAAAGTGGGCCTCATCAAAGCCAGTGACGGGGGCAGGGAGGGGAGCCGAGGCTCCCACCTGTTCTGACTTCTTACTTTCCTACCAGGCAGACAAGCCCAGGCTGGCAATCCCCAGAGCGGTGTTAACAGAGGGCGAGGTGGAGGGAGGCTCCAAAAGGAAGGCTTTTCACGTTACCAAGGGCTGAGCCAATCGCCTGTGTGGCTGAATAAATCCAAAACAAAAAGTGCAATCTCTTAGGGGGAAAAATCCCAGAGTAACCAGATAAAAAAAGGGTAAGATCTTTCATTTTAAAAAATATTCTATACCGGCCAGCCGCAAGAAAAAAAAAAATTCCAGAATTCAGGTTTTGGAAGAATGGGAAATAAAAGCTGAAGGCTCAGCAGTGAGACTTCAGAACCACCCCCACACCCCACCACCCTCTCAGTTTGTCCCTTTCTTTTTTTGAAGGATGACAAGGACACCACTGCGGGTGAAGAAGACCCCGTGTGCGCCAAGGCAGCTGGGTCATTCAGGACCCCCCTCCAGGTGGGCCCCTGCCAGTCTCATCTTCCTCAGGCTTCTACCTTCTAGTTCTAGCACCTTCTCCAACCCCTTCCCTATCTAACCTCGCCTGCCTGGGCTTTGGGCATAGTAGATGAGGACTCTTGGGGGGAGGGGGATGTGTGGGAGTGGCCAACAGGCACAGCAGGCACTGCCCTTACCCTGAGCGGAAGGAAGACTACATGTGGCGGCAAGAGGCCAGGGAACGACCGGGTAGTAAAGTGCGTTGTGTAAGAGTGGAGCGGGGAGGGCAACGGGCTAGGACGAGGCCATGCCCCTCATCTTTGAGGCCACCCACGCCTGGAGCAAACCCTGTTGGGTCAGGTACTGAAAATATACTGGGCTTTTTGATTATTTTTACCAGCCCAAACAAAGAGGCTTGGGGGAGGAGCAGAGATGCACCACAGGGTCAGCTTCGAAGTTTCCCAGCCCCAGTGCCTCAGGGAAAAAAAAGCAAAAACAAACATTCCTTAATGCCACATCTATCTTTTGAAGATGACAGCAGCCTGGCAGATCCACCTCAGTCTCGTGAGCATCCAACACATGGCTAAGGGAGAGACCCCAGCAGAAGTGTCTGGAGCATCCCCTCCCCGCCAGGGTCCTCCCCCCAGGGCCTCACACCCCAGGCTCCAGCTTAAAGAGGCCTTGGAGCCAGGCTGCTCCACACCCACTTGCCCACCTCAGGCCAATAAAGTTGGGGGTGCACGTGAACTGCTTCTCAGCCCTCCCCCAAGGTCCCAGGGAGACAAAGAGTTGCCTGTCAGCTGTGACATGTGGAGGGGTGGCAGGGAAGGGCAGAAGTGGGGAAAGCAAGGGCTAGCCTATGGCTCACTCGGGAGAGTGTGATGCTGATGATACCAAGGCCACAGGTTCGGATCCCTCTATAGGGATGGCCGGTTAGTTCACTTGGGAGAGCGTGGTGCTGACAATACCAAGTCAAGGGTTAAGATCCCCTTACCGGTCATCTTAAAAAAAAAAAAAAAAGTAGGGAAAGCAGTGGCGTGGCAGACAGCAGGCCACTTCCTGGGCACAGTTACTAAGGCACATGACCATGGTGAGGAGGATCCTCAGGACTGGGCTGGAGCTGCCTGCAGCCACCCAGAAACTCCGTCTGTGCCTCTTGGCCTCCCCTCCATCACCACGAACCCAGAAAGGGGCAACCTGCCCAGACTGCCAGTGACCAGATGGGCATTCCATGGCACCTCAGCAGCTCTCCTGCCTCAGGCCCTGTGGGCAGCAGGGAAGCCGGAGCTGCCTGGAATTAAACCCAGGAGGCAGCATGCAATCTCCCCTACACTACAGGGAAGTAGGGGAAACCAAGGCCAGGAAGCCCAATGCTGAAGGAGGAAGTAGGGACTTGCATATCAGGAAGACAATCATTATCAGCCACCTTTCTTCCCTCCCTCGGGACCTTCTGGATGCTTCTTGGAAACTCTCAACTCAACAGGACCAAGGGCCTGCACCTCTGAGCTGGAAAGCCAGGTGTTGGGATGGCTTTGGCACAATTTCCGAAATCTCCATCCTCGGCCAAGGAAATGCACCAACAAAGTAACCAAGGCAAGCCCAGGGACTCACACACTCACTCCAGTTAGAGCCAATCCTGACTTGAGAGCTCTCACTTTTGTGTCTGCTCCTGCAAAGGGCAGCAGTGCCAGCAATCAAAGGAAACAGACCAGACTCAGGCCCGGCCCCTGTGAGGCAAGGGACAGCTGTGTGGCCACTAAGGCTTGTGGACAGCAACAAGCCCGCATGACAGGGAAACTGGAAGGGGTGGGGGGAAGGCACAAGTAAATGCAGCGGCACTGAGGCCCATGTGGGCTGGTGGGGCTGTGGCCAAAAATGTGGCTGGAGGGGACCCAGAGGCTCAGGGAAAGAAAAGGGTTCAATCCAGCACATTCAAATATGTCCCCGACAGATAGGAAGGCCAGGCCAGGCAAAGAGCCAGCTCCTCCAGCTGTCCAGCAGGCAGATGGCGAGAATCTTCCTTCAGTTTCCAGCAAGGTGGGCCTGCAGGCCCTCAGAGATACACAGATACACAGGTGGCAGCTCAAGTATCCGGGGGTGGCTGGAGAGTACACGGTGCTCAAACCCACAGGGAGAGGGAGGAAGGGCAGAGAGGACAGAGGCTGGCGGCAGCCCTCATGCTTCTTTCAACAGTGGAATATCTGCAGAAAGACAGGGAAGTAAGCACAGTGGTTACCCCACGTAGGTCTCTCTGTAGCACTCCTGATCCCACTGCAGGGACCCCACACAATCCCTAGTTTAAAGAAATAAAATGTCCTACTCATACACTTCTAGGTAGTCAAAAATTCCCTGCCTCTTTTTTAGGCCATTCTGGTTCATCTCTTCCACTGCTTATGTGATAAAATCTGAATGTTCAGCCTGATATTAAAAACCCTTCTGGTCCCACCAACATGAACCCTCCTCTCTGCCTTAGCCCTGCTTATCTAGTCACTTCCCATTCTCTCCTAATTCTACCCTGTGAGGCTACAAAGACCTGCCTAAGTCCCACCTCCTCCTTAAAGCAATCCACCAGCTGTGAAAACCTGGGCAAATCACTTCCCCTGTCTGGATTTTAGTCTCCTTATAGGTCAACGCAGGTTAGACTCATGCTTCAAGCTCCTGACGTCCTACGGTACTGTCAGTCCCAGACAGCTCTGGCATGGCGTGTAATTAACTCACTAACCTGTATGTCTTCTTTTCTGAACCCCTCATTTTGACACAGACCCCACAATTCTTGGTTCTGTTACTTCTCAAGTACAGGACCTACCATCTTCCCAACTGACTGACACTCCATGCAAGCAGAGAGTGCTGTTGTGTTTCCTATTTCTGAAAACTAATCCAGCACCAGGCACAAGATGGGCTCTCAAAGATGCTTATTCAATACATGGAACAAAGCAAGGTAGTGATGAAGAGAGGAAAGAACAGGCCCGTCCTGGCCTTAGGGAGAAAAAGGCCACAATGTGCACTTAGACACATTCAAAGATGCTTATTCAATACATGGAACAAAGCAAGGTAGTGATGAAGAGAGGAAAGAACAGGTCCGTCCTGGCCTTAGGGAGAAAAAGGCCACAATGTGCACTTAGACACATTTCACAATATGAGTGGCTGACTGTCTATGGGGTACTGGCTTTCCCATTTAAACGTAGGGCAACTATTTAATGGCCCCTTGCTAGCTCTGTGGCAAACCAAAAAAATAAAGGCAAGCTGTTGATGACCAGAAAACTCCATAAACATAATCTCTGGGCAAGAATTTCCAACTTCTCTGCTTTCAGATATTCTAAACTTTAAGACATTTGCTGTGTCCAGACATCTAGGAAGCATAGTAAGACTCTTTTAGAGAGGCTTCACGAGTGTAGCAATCCTCACTGTCAAAAAGGAAACATCTAGGTTTAGTCTGCATCCTGAATTACACTGGGGTTTCACTTAAAGTTATTTTTAAAAGTAACAGACTCAAGCCCAAGGTTAAACTGGGCTCTGGCAAAGACAGAAATATCAGGAGGCAATAATTTTATTCAATGGTTGTTTGCCACAAAGAAGGTGGAGTTACCTGAAAGGCAGCATGGTGCCATGAAGTTAAAAATGCAGGTTTTGGAGCCAGACCCATCTGGCTTCAAATCCCAGCTCAGACATTTACCAGTGGGCCAAGTGACTCACCCTCTTTGAGCCTCAGTTTCCTCATCTGTCAAATGGGGATGGTAACAAATACCTACTTCTTAGGATCACTGTGAGATTTAACTGAGCTAGTGCAAGAAAACTAACTAGCACAGTACCTGGCATACACCTATTTACAACGAAGCATCTGTCTGCTCTGGAAGAGAGACAGGCTCTTGTTTTCTCTGTAACACAACCCCATACCTCCTAGTCATTCCTGACCTTTCGGGAACACAAAAATTACAAGAGGATAGATCCCGCCCCCCATTTCCAACCAGATGTCTACCTTATGATTTAGCAAAGCCCTACGGCCATGAAGTCTCAGAGACTCCAAACCAATAAAGTTCACAAACAACAGTGAAAAGTCTCTCTACAGAGAGCCCTACCAGGTAGTGTGAGGGTGAAATCCTATTTTGTATGCTAATACACCGAGTATTATCTTTCTTTGCTGGAAAAAACACCAATTATCAGAGATGCTCATGGTCCTTCCTCACTCCCAGCAAGGACCCTGAGCAGCTAATGATTTATGTTCAGGTCAGACCACCTACCATCTGTGTACTCCTCCGACGTGAGGGATAAAAGGCTTTGTATGTCACTGTTCTCTGAATCTGTGGCTTCTTTGTGTGCCAGTCGGCTGTTCCCTGAGCCAGCCACCCAAGAGGAGGTGGACGCCTGATGCACCATCACAGTCTCGGAGCCCAGAGAGCCCCAGGCTTCACACAGTCCGGACTGGCCCGGGGCTTCTTCCTCTCCACCTACGGAGGAGCAGGCCCCCTGGTCCTGCAGCTGCTGTTCCCTTGGCATGCTCCTCCCGCTGGGCCCAGATCCTTCTGACAACACAATCGGCACTCTGGGGTCAGCTGGCGGCACACAGTGACCAGAACTGCCATACACAGCCTCCTCATATGATGGTAGTGCAACCTGGACTCCATCTACCATGATGGAGACCTGATCTCCAGATGTACCCTGGTCACGCCTGGATCAGAGGAGGAAGAGACAAAGGAAGAATTACAATAAACACACCGATAAATAAATACCATAATGCCAACAGCCACCATTTTTGAGCACTTACTATGTGCTAGGCACTGCACTAAGTGCTTTAAACACTTTATCAAACTGGATCCTCATCTGAGCCCTTTCAGACAGGGATTCACCAAGAATGCAGAGAAGGCTCTGAGAAGTTAAGAAACTTGCCCTCAGTCACACAGCTGGTAAGGGATGGAGCTGGGATTTAAATCCAGGTCCACCTCCCTCCAGAGACCATGTTCTTAACCTCTGGGTACAAAGGCACATGGCCCTCTGGACCTGTGCAAAAACTAGGAGCCTAGAGACCTGAAAATAAAACCATTCATTCAACACAGCTAAGATAAAAAAGTGAGAGAATGATGGTGGCACACTTCTGTAAATATACTAAAAAACATTTCATTGTACACATCAAATGGGTACATAGTATGGTATGTGAATTATATCTCCATAAAGCTGCTAAAAACGAGAGAAAGGGAAGCACTGTGGTCTTAAAATGGGATACCAGACCGGAAATCAGAAGAATTTTTTTTGTTCTGACTCAGCCACTTTGCTTGCCCCCCTGCTTTTTTAAACTTTGTGAACTTCACAAAATTATATGTGAATTATAACACAAACACAGAAAGGAACAGCTAGCTACACAGGTGATGTTGTGCACTTTCAGCTCATCATATCAGGAGACACACATGGTCTGTTGCCAGACCATATTTTTGTTGCTAGACTATTGTTAGTAGTTCTCAATTTCCTCATCTGTGCTCAGAGATAAAATCTGTGCCACCTAATTCAAATAACGTACAGACTGTGAGGATAACAGAAGTGGCACCCTTTAAAATTGCTCAAAAGTTTTTGGAAGGAAGAGAAACTTTGATGGCAAGGTGGCAAATAAAGTGTATGTATTGTATGTATACTGGTATGTGCTCAACTTTTGCTATCTATTCAAAGTAAATTTTTTTGTTAGTTTGGTCAGGGCCCCTTGGGTGTAAGGAGTGGGGGAGGGGGAGAGAGGGAGAGAGGGAGAGAGGGAGGGGGAGAGAGGGAGAGAGGGAGGGGGGAGAGAGAGAGAGAGTCATATTCGCGCCAATGTATCTTTTAGTTCTGTTGCTATCCTTGTCTTCAGAGAGAGAGAGAGAGCAGTTTGAGTGAAGTGGGCGGGCGGGCGTCTGCCTTGGGAGCACAGCCATGCTTTCCAACCTATGGCTCCAAGGACCTTTTGGCTGGCTACCTAGCTCACAGACCTGCGTGAAGGAGTCTGGTGACCCAGCCTGGTATACGAAGGGTTTGTGACCCAGTCTGGACAATGGGCTTGAGGGATCTGGGAGCTCCAGACCCAGCCCTAGCTCAACAATTGGCCAAGTCAGTGCAGTATTACCAGCAGGTAAAAGAGCCCGACAACTAGCGTGGTCGCCTAGCTTTACAATTGGCGTCACGAACAGGATTAAGAGCTAGACAATTGGCGCTGTGAGGATTCCAGGCCTTAGCCTAGCCAGACAAATACAAAACTTAAATAGGGTCTATACTGAAAACCAAACCTCCCTTCTACATAAGTCTGGCAAAACTAGCCAGTTACTCTTAACAGACTAATTGGTTAACTAGGGAGGAAAAAAACTCCATAATTTAGATGAAATGCAGAATAGATCAGTTTGACTTTGTGTGGAAATAGCTGATTCTTTCAAGTAAACAATCCCCCCCCCTTCAAATCTTCTTTATCCTATTAATTAACAACCTTTAAAAATAATTGTTACGAATAGATCAGTTTGACTTTGTGTGGAAATAGCTGATTCTTTCAAGTAAACAATCCCCCCCCTTCAAATCTTCTTTATCCTATTAATTAACAACCTTTAAAAATAATTGTTAACCCAAAGCCCAAAACAAAACAAAAGGAAGAAGGAAAAATCACGCATAGTATGCAGAGATTAAATTCAGACAAAGAACACCTAGTCTGTAAATTCCAAAGCTGGAGCATTTAAGTGAATGCGTTTAGGTTGGCCCTTCCTGCTTGTGAGTTATGACAGTGACTGAGGAAGGGCTGTGAATGCATATAAAAGATGTGCTCCTCAAGAGGGAATGAGCAGCTGCCTGGGAAACCAAGCAATTGTAGAAGCCATGATAGCCTGGGAGAGAAGCCCACCATCAGGATCACTCACAGTCAGCATCATCAGGGTTCCACCATCCGCCACCCCACCCCAACAGCCCAGTCTGGTTTAATTTGTGGCTAATGTGCTGCACAGGAAAAAGGAAAGTAACAAAGGCAGGCAAAAAAACCTACTTCCTCTGTTCCTCCCAGCGTAGTGCAGGGTATCTTGATCCTCACTGCACATTAGCACCACCTGAGGAGCTTTTCACACAATGCCAATGCCAGGATTCCACTCTAAACCAAATAAATTAGAGTGGCTGGGGATAGAGGCTCAGGTGTTGGTATTTGTTTTTAACTCCCTGAAGGTGAAGGCACCTTCATGCCATCAGGATTGGGGAACCAGGAGCACAGGGCAGTGCTGACCACATCACTGGCCCTCCACCCCAGGGCTTCTCATTCAGTCGGACTGGGGTGGGGTCTGAAAATATGTATTCCTAACAAGTTCCCAGACGATGCGGATGTTGCCAGAACCACACTTTGAGTACCACTGAGGTAAGGGAAATGACCTTGCTTTGGAGTTGGACAAATTCAACTCTGCTATCGTCTGGAGGTATGACCTTGAATGACTTAACCTAGCTGAGCCTCAGTTTCCTCATCTGCAATATTCCTATGAGAATTAAGACAATATATGCACAGAAGTAAGCACGGTACCAAGCATATCCAGTTGTCTAACCCATGGCAGGGCCCTCGCCCTTCCTGGGGCACACAACTGGCTGGTAGAGGCCAGCCCACAGCAACACTGCCCCTGGGCTCACCTGCTGTGATGGAAAGACTTCAGCTTTGGCTGCAGCAGCACAAAGAGCACCACGAGGAAGAGAATGAGTGCCACGGAGCTGGCAGTAGAAGCCACTATGGAGAGCGTGGGGACCCCGAGTGACGTATGGGTGTCTTTTTCTAAGGAAGTAAGCCATCATCAGAAGCATTTTGTACTCAGACACACAAAACATGGGCCCCACAGTTGATTTTGTCAAATGCCCCCTTCATGATGCCATACAAAGACATCCTACAGGTAGGGCCATTTCAGGAATAACAGCATAGAATGGCCTGTGTACACACTGGGATCCTGCAAATGGAGAATTTCCCTTTCCTGTTTCCAGAATACAAAATTCCCTTCACTTCTGGTCTCTGAGATCCATCTGATACCTACACTCCGTTAACCCTAGAGCTCTTACCTTTAGAAATCACTCTGATCCCGTCCTCAATAGAAAGTTGGTAAACATCAACCATTTAAATGGGCACATCATTCCACCATCTTAAGTAGCACCCATGTTTTTCCCCACGTGGCAGGATAATTTTTAAGAACTGGGTTGTATAATAAGCCCCTGTCCTAAGGTCCCACAGCTTTAGTTGTAAATCTCAGGTTGGTTCCCACCCTCCTCTGGGGTGTCACGGGTTAAACACGTTCTGGTCTCAAAGCCCAAGTGGGAAGCACAAAAAAGGCCAGATGACACATACTTTCCTGCAGGCAGCTAGATTTTCCTGTCATGCAAAACAGGAGGAGGCAGAGGGAAAGAGATGTCTTCTGACCAGCTGGCCTGCAGCTCCATAACAAAACAGTACATTTCCACTCAAGGAAAAATAAAATGAAAAAGATGCTAAAAAAAGGTGTTAGCATTGTGCTCATGGTGTTAGCAGAAAACGGTCAAAGGTCACCAGCACTTGCGTAGGCAAACAAGAGATCCTGAGCATGAAAGGGACTCTACATAACAGGGTAGATGCCTCAGTAAAGCCACTGAGCCCTCAGTGGCTCAGTGAAATGCAATGGGACACGCACCAGCAACCCCAAATGTCTTCCCAAAGACATGAAATCCCAAAGGGAGGAAAGCTGTAGGGCACCAAAACAGGGCTATGCTGCACCACAACGAAGGGTGCCCGGGTGGAAGCATGTACCCCCTCCCATGAGCTAAAAGAAAACAGAACCCCAGAGCAGCCCATGCTCATCTGCCAGACTGACCCTCGTTGAGATGGCAGCTAATCTCCATGGCCGGTTTCCACTCGCCATTCTTACAGGTCAGGTATTTGTAGTCACCCTTCAGCATGTAGCCTTCAGCACACAGGTACTCGATGACACTGCCTGCTGTCAGGGGGTCTCTGCAGGGCCGGGGGTGGCAGATGTAGCCACCATTCTCTGGCTCTGGGGGCAGGGGGCACACTGCAAAGACAAAAAGAGCAGCGTTACAGTGGTGAGGTTTCCCAGTGAGAGTCTCTTCTCAGTGCTGCAGCTCTGAAGGCCTCAACAGGAAACAGATCAGGAGCAAAGAGCCATCCCATCCCTAGGAAGGGCCACTGACCAAACCCTGGAAACTGAGGTTGCCACTGACAGGGGAAGTACGCTGGCCTCAGAGAAGTCTGGCTGCTTGCGACTTTCCCCTCTACCTCCCCACCGTGCCTTAAGAGAACTGCATCCACAACTGACAACGACTTGAACCTACACAGATCTAGACATAATGTGGTTTTAATAAAACCTACTAACATCCGCAATGAATCAGAGTGAAAGGAGGTAAAATACTATTAACCTGTGGGGGTGGGGGAGATGTTAGTCTGTTTCCAATATTAATGCCAGAAAGGACTCCAGTTTAATAACAATGTGGATTCTGCGCCTCAGAGGAGATTTCTGATGGATTTCCTGGGAGGTTTCCCAAGCCCCCTCTGCATCTTCCATTCTCTGACTAGAATATCACTGGCATCACTTGTCCCTAGCCCAGAGTAAATCCCACCCTTTTCATTCAGGTAGGACTGTGTAGTTTTAAAAGCACCCATCTTATTTATTTTTCCTCACAACTCTGTGAGGTTGTTATCATTACTCCCCTTTGAAGAGGAGGACACTTAGGCCCACAAATGTTAAGTGACTTTTAGCTAAGCTTAAGGCAGGACAAATGGCAGGACTGGGATCACAGCCAAGTCTTCTGATTCTAAACCTGCGCTCTTTCCACCAGCAGATGTTCCTCCTAATCCATGAGTGGAGAGGCCTTTAACGGGTGGGTGTGTGTCAAGGTTACCTCCCCTTCTTCCCTTTAAAGGGGTCAGTTTAGGAAGGTGGCAAGCAGTGCCTACGTGTATGTTCCTCCTAATCCATGAGTGGAGAGGCCTTTAACGGGTGGGTGTGTGTCAAGGTTACCTTCCCTTCTTCCCTTTAAAGGGGTCAGTTTAGGAAGGTGGCAAGCAGTGCCTACGTGTGGTGGGAACCCTGGTCTAGATAAGCTGCAATCCTCACAAGAAGGGCTGCCTCTGGTTCCACCCAGGACAGACGCTGCAGAATCAAAGCCCCCAGGCAGTAGATGGCTGGGTGTGCCCAGCCAAAATAGGAAGGTGCTGTGGAGCACTGAGGGATCACTGTTTGGAAGAATGGGCTTGGGGGAGATGTGCTGGCAAGATGAGGAGGCACCCAGGAACCTCAACTTTCCAAAAGCCTTATGAAATTTTCCAAAGGAAATTCAAATTTGCTGACAAATACCCTGCCCCCATTCTGAATGTGACAAGGACATCTGTATGAGAATGAGTATAAGGGTTTTCTTTTTCTCACTTCCTCCAATAGGCCTGCAGACACTGAGAGTCACATGGTGTCCCTGACTGTCCGAGATAAAGTGTTCTCCCATCCACAAGACTGCCCACCCGCAGTCCGACACAGATGTGCCCCTCCAGTCTTCCTTCCAACCTACAAATGGCTACTAATCAAGCTGACTGCCAACCAGGCTGGGGGGTGGATACCAAGTCAGGAAAGAGATGGTAGCTCCCTGCCCTCAAGCTGCTTATCACTTGAGATGGGGAGAAAAGACTCCACTTCTAAAAAAAAAAAAGAAAAAGAATTAAAAGTTGTTAACAAAACAAAGCTGGGGTAGGCATCACAGGGATCCACAGAAGTCTGGCAGCTTCCCTGAAACAAGGAGATGAGCCCAATAAGCCCCCCCTCAGTCCCTCTAAGATACACCACCTCCTCCGCCACCCACCTCGTCTAGGGTCTTGAACAGGAGGGAGAGAGAGGCAAACACTCCTTCCGACACTCTTTTAGACTGTGGCCAAGTAGTTCAGAGAGCTGGCCAGCTGGATTTCCAAAAAAACCTCAGCAAACTGCTTTACCCTCTTTCACACTTTCCCTCTTTTGTTCGGAGCAGCAAGCCTGCCACAGATCTCCCTGACTTACTCCCTGCCTCTCCTTTGACTGTGTCTAATTGGTTCATTTCCTCGGCATAATTAATGCTGAACACCCCAGAGGGCAGCTCCTGAAAGCAGGCAGAACCCACAAGCAGGTCCAATCTGCTGAGAAAGATGGTCTCAGAAGAGCTGTTGATTCTAAAGTCACTCCTGTTTTGTTGAGTATTTCTGTCCAAAAAACCCACATCTCCACAGAATCTTTGAGAGGGACCCCTGTGGGTCACCTAGCACTCAATTTATAAGTGAAAAAAAGTGAGGCTTACAAAGAAGTGATTTGTGATTCAATTTAATTTCAATTCAACTAACTAATATTTATTTATTAATATGTATGCTGTGCTCTGAAGGAGAATAAAAAGAGAAGCACTTCAGGTACCTGTAACCAAACAGGGATGTGGCAAGTGTACACATATTTTAAAGATCGTTTTCTCTATGGCTTCTGGGTTTTGGGTTTAAGTGTAACGTTTTATACATTGAGTTTCTTTTCCTTTTTTTTTTGACCAGTAAGGGGATCGCAACCCTCAGCACGGTGTGGTCTGCACCGCGCTCAGCCAGTGAGCGCACCAGCCATCCCTATGTAGGATCCAAACCCGTGGCCTTGGCGCTCCCGAGTGAGCCATGGGGCCGGCCCTATATATTGAGTTTCTGTTATTTAAATAATATGTTTACAAAAAAACTCACAGGAAATATGTATATATGGTATAAAAATTTTTAAAGGGTGAAAAGTAAGCCCCTCTCCTGCCTCCTACTCACTCAGTTCCTCTCTCCAAAGGCACCGCACCAGTTTCTTCTGCATTCTTCCAAAGTTATCTTACACACAGATTTATTCTGATACATGTCAAAGAATGTGATTCATGCCACAAGAGAGAAAGCTCAAAGCAGGAGAGATCACATCTTGTGTGGGGGAGACTAGGAAAGGCTCTCAGAGGAAGTAGCATTTCAGACAGGACTTCATTTCATCAGCAAGGGAGACAGTGGTTTGATGCAAATGCACTAAAATAGGAAAATGTAGGTTAAGCCCAGGGAACATCAAATAGCCCAATTTTGCTGAGTTGAATAGTAAAGAAAATCTGTCCAAAAAAATGTGAAGAATGATGAAACCATCTTGCAGAAGGTCTTGATGCAACAGGAGATATTTATATTATATTCAAAGGAAAAGGGGAGCCATTGAAAGTTCTTGAGGAAAGTAGCATTATAACGGGAGCTGAATTTGACATGGATGGACCAGAGGTGTAGAGACCATGTAGATCATGTCAACAGTATAGGAACCCTGGTATGGTAAAATAAACTCAGTACAAAAATTATTTTATGTTTATTTATGAAGGTCACACAAAGGAAATAAGCTGGAATGTGTCAGGTTCAGCATCAGGAGATGCTGCCCCAGGTTCAAGGACAGAAATAAGAAGGCATTAGAAGGAAGAGTCAAGGACCAAAAAAAAAAAAAGGCAAGGTCATCTTAAGACACTGAGACAACACAGGAAAAAAAATATGGCCCTTCTGCCCAGAGACTAGAGTGGGAGAGTCCTGGCCAGGAGCAGGTGTTGGTGAGGACCCTCTCAGTGATGCCCAGAGAAAAGGAAGACCGTCGTAGAAGAGCAAAACCCAGGCAGCAAATCAATCACCCAGTGGCTGGCTTCCAGAAGCCACCATCCTTGGCAAGAGGCTGACTTAAATCTGAGAGGCTGATAATCTGCACATCAGGCTCTCTCTCTTTCTCTCTGAAAACTCCAGATCCCCAGAAGGAGTTTCAAGCTCCATCCGGGAAAAGAACGAACTCATCTGATTTGGCAATGCTAAACAACTCAAAAAAGAGATGGGGAAAGCCAGACAATTTCACAGAAATTTTTACAGGAAAAAAAGGAATCAATTCTCCTTAGCTTCCTCTCTGCTTTCCTTTCTTTCCCACAGCCATTTGGGCCTCCAGGGAGCATGAGGTCATTCTTTGGGGGCCCAGCAGAGTAGCTGACACATGGGAGGCACTCAGTGAAAGTCCCTCCATTCAGCTGGCGAGGATGCAGGTGGAGGAGAAGTGAAAAGATCTGACTGATACTTCTGCCTCACAGCTGTCAGTCACCTCAGCCTGACACCTTAGCAGAAACCAACAAGAACACCCCATCTGCTCTTCTCAGTGTGCTTTGCTTTTGTTTTTGGGGCGACCAGGATTTCAGGGGGAAAAGGCAAATTAAAGCAAAACAAACTTTATAACATTTCATGACAAGTAAAGCAAAACAAGCTCCAGGAAAAGCCCTGGGGTCAAAGCGTTCGGTACAACAAAAGGAACAAATACTCGAGCTCTTTCCAAACAAGGTGCAGGGAGTAAGGAGTAGGAAGTCAGCCAAACTTCACAGGGATTAAAGTTGAGTAGAGAAGCAGACATTTAAATATCTAGCGAATGTCTGAAAGATTCAACAAGACTTTCTGGCTGACAGTTAAAGAAAACACAAGAAACTGTGTCAAGTGTTCAGTCACGTTTGAAATAATGTAGCTTTAGACTAAAATATCATGAGGTAGCATTTATGACATAACAGGACACAGAGAGATGCTTAATAAAAGTGTTGAAAGAAAAGATGGCTGGAGAGAAGCTTTGCTGGGAATTCAGAAGAGAAGAGGTTCCCCCCCACACCACCTGTGCAGTTGTTACCAGGAACGCAGTCGAGGTAGTATTGTAAATAGCCCTATTTGGCTGTAATTCCATCAAACAATCAGAAGAAAAGATGGCTGGAGAGAAGCTTTGCTGGGAATTCAGAAGAGAAGAGGTTCCCCCCCACCACCACCTGTGCAGTTGTTATCAGGAACGCAGTCGAGGTAGTATTGTAAATAGCCCTATTTGGCTGTAATTCCATCAAACAATCATACAGGACCTCTCTACACAAGACTCTCTAGGAGGGCCATAAAAGTAAATATGACAGAACCATGCCCTCAAAATACAGACACGTACACAGCCAACTCTAACATAAATCAATGAAGTAAGTGTGATATGTGACACAAGATGCTCAAATGTGA